GGTGGGAAGCTTGGCTTCCTCCATCACTGAAGCAAGCAAGCCTCATGTTCTTCGCTTCAGTGCATGGCTGCCGGCCGCCATCTTGGCTGGCAGTTAATTTGCATATCTCCCTGATTAGCCAATGGGAAGGGTAGCGGCCGTACGGCTAATTACCATGTTTCTCTTTTATTAGATAGGAAGGATAATACAACTTTATTAATAGAATAGGGTGAATGATGCAAATAAATTTGTATTAATGGTAGTAGAAAGATGATAGTTCCCACCTAATGTTTATTTTCTCAATGAAATTAAAAGAGAGATGAAAAGGAATGTTAGATATTTTAGGAAAGCAGACAGGTTTAAAATAGTTATTGTAGAGTGAATTGACCAAAAAAAAAAAAAATGTAGGATTGCTAGGAAGTGTAAAAGCCTGTTTGAGGTTAATTATGGTGAATTTATAGTAGATAGAATGTATTAAGTATTTCCTGGCTATTGGGATGCTGTGATAAAGAACTCAGAATGTTCTTTTTATTCAAGATTACTAAAGGGATTGCTAACCATATGGGAATTTAAGGTATTGGCAAATGTTGATCATGTACCTAAATTGGAGGTACATGTTGATCATGTTGATCAAATTGGAGGTACAATGTTGATCATGTACTTAAAGGAGGAAAATCAAAAGCAGAGGACTAACTGTTTGAGAGAAAGTACAGGGGTAAGTGAATTGCTGATCCAGTGAAGTCAGAGACGATTGTGGTGGGTGGAGTTGAATAAGCAAGCAGATAAAAATTGTAATCTTGCACTAGCTGGTTTGGCTCAGTGGTTAGAGTGTCAGCCTACGGACTGAGGGGTCCCAGGTTCGATTCTGGTCAAGGGCACATGCCCGGGTTGTGGGCTTAATCCCCAGTGTGGGGCGTGTGGGGCGTGCAGGAGGCAGCTGATCAATGATTCTCTCTCATCATTGATGTTTCTATCTCACCCTCCTCCCTTTCTCTCTGAAATCAAGAAAAATATATTTTTTAAAAACTGTAATCTTGTGGAATATTTCAACTAATCATTTTAGAAATAGAATGGTTATAAGTGATGAGGACTACAATGTGACCTTGGAAGTGGGTCACTGAGATGGAATAGATGAGCTAATTAGAAAAGAGCACGTCAAGAAATGAGGATATATTGGGTGAGTTATTAAGTGGGCATTTCTGTCACTAAGAATGATGTCAAAACTTAGGGTGGAGAGAAATTATAAGTTGGTTGTCAGTATCTTCAATGTAATACAGAGCGTGAATGATATTCATGAAAGGTAAGAGAAGCTATTACAGCCAAATGCAAGAGCCTTGATATTGCTATTTTGGCAAGGGAATTTGTAGGATTGTGTATGCCAGGTACTCTTGAAAGACACAGAAATTACTATGTAAATATTGCAAGTCCCCTGTCTTCTAGGAGCTCAAAAACTATAGGAAAAACAAACAAAACAGAACAAAACACAAAAAACAGCCACAGTGATTAATGACAGTATGGTGAAGTAGAATCTACCTACAAAGTATATTTGGAACCCCAAGGATGGAGTGGTTTTCTCTAACTGAAGAAGTCATTGAAGGTTTATGGGAAAGATGATATCTGAAATGAATTTTATGAAGTTCCTAATGTGGAGGAGGGGAAGAAAGACAATACAGGAGGAATTACAAGATGTATGGCTCCTAATAACAGACAAACATAAATTCAAAATGATAGCATCCCATTGTACTAAGTACTGTTATAACATGTAGTTCTTTATCATTAGAATATTCCCATCTCTTGGCCAATACAATTTTTTTTGTTTTTGTTTTTTTGTTCTTGGAATTCAGTATTGTTCTTTAATGGGATGATTTAAAGCATGTACTGTGTATGTGTGTGAGCACACACAATGTGCCCTTGTGTTTTTGGCATTTCTTTTAAAGTTATGCCTCAAATAATTTATTGCTAAAAATAAATGCAAGGGTAATAAGTAAGTAAATATGATCACTTTCATGCATTTGCTTTTGTTAACACACTCATTCAATAAATTAAATTTCCATCATGATGGTTGAAGCTCTACTTTAAGCCACAAGGATACAAAGATTGATATGATGATCTCTGATCTCAGAAAACTCATAGTTTATTATGTTCCAAGCCCAACAAGCTATAATAAGTATCTTATATAATAAAAGGCTAATATGCAAATAGACCAAACGGCGGAACCGGAACAACCAAACCGGTCTCTATGACGTGCGCTGACCACCAGGGACATGCGTGGAACATTGTGGGTGTCGGCCGTGGTGGGATGGTAGAGCAGGTGAGTGGGAGCACTAGACCAAGGCAGGGTGCCGGTCGCTGTTATCGGGGTGAGCCTCTGGTGGTTACCGAAAATTCTTTGCTCCTGCAAATGCCGCAGTCCTGCCTAGGGATGGCGCCTGCCCGCTCGCACCCATTGCTGGCACCGGAGCCACTGCTCACACCTACTGCCGGCGCCTGGCACTGGCCCTGATAACTTGGTGCTGTCAGCTGGTGCAAGCGGCGGCTGCCGGCCCTGATCGCCCCTCAGGGCTTCTCCACCTCCCCCTACTTCTGAGGGGAGATTGGGGCCAGCAGCCGCCGGAGCCACTGCTCGCACCCACTGCCAGCGCCGGCCCCACTCACACCTGCAGCCGGTGCCAGAGCCGTCACTCCCACCTGCTACCAGTGCCCGGAGCACCAGTCCCAATCACTCGGCGCCATCAGTGGCTGCGAGTGGTGGCTGCCGGCCCTGGTCGCCCTGAGGGCTTCTCCACCTCCCCCTGCTCCTGAGGGGCGGTGGGAGCAGTGCTGCTGGCAGACAGGATCGGGGGCCGTGGCGGGAGGGGCCGGGTGGGGGTGCGGAGGATGGGCTCCTATGCATACTGCAGCCTCGCGGCCCACAGTTCCTTAGAAGGTGCACGAATTTGTGCACTGGGCCCCTAGTAATATTAAAATACTAATCATTGGGAATGCTGTGACTTTTTTGTAAGATAACTTCTTTCTCTTGAGTCCTCAGACACATTTTAAAATATTGATGTATTCCTTTATTCATTCTTAGTGGAAAATGTTTGATTTCATCCAACTAGAAATATAGTTAACCAAAAATGTGGATAAAGTGGTAGACTTTGCCTATAATATTAAGACTCAAAATAAAGTATGTTTCTTTTTGAATTAATAACCTTTCATATTTTGGCTTTATTCTTCAAAGGTTGTGAAGATGAGAAAAGAAGTGAAGAGAATCCGAGTTTTGGTTATCCGAAAACTTGTCAGAAGTGTTAGCAGACTGAAGTCAAAAAAGTTAGTCATTTCAAGTTATGGCTTTCTGACTGATAAAATGTCAAAAATTGTTTTTATTCAATATTTACAAAATTTGAGGGTGGGACCTAAGAGGGATAATTAAATATCTTACTCATGCAGCACTTTTTAAAAAAAAATAGAGAGGATCTGAGTGAGATAGAATGTGCTGTGTCAGCATGTTACATGGTTTGAATCATATTTGCTTAAAATACATGATGAATTCTGCTGCTATTTTTTTCAAAATCTCTTTGACCTTTTCAAAATGAAAGTCCTTTGGGGTTATGTATGTGTTTTATGTTGTTAGAAGTTATCTTAAGATGTGGTATAGCCGAAACCGGTTTGGCTCAGTGGATAGAGCGTCGGCCTGCGGAGTGAGGGGTCCCAGATTCGGTTCCGGTCAAGGGCGTGTGCCTGGGTTGCGGGCACATCCCCGGTGGGGGATGTGCAGGAGGCAGCTGATCGATGTTTCTCTCTCATCGATGTTTCTGACTCTCTATCTCTCTCCCTTCGTCTCTGTGAAAAATCAATAAAATATATTAAAAAAAAAAAAAAAAGATGTGGTATAGTTGAGCAAATCTAGTAATACATTGTGTGAATCAGTTGTAAAAATTTATATTACTTTTTTTCTTGAATTGCTAATTAATTTAAAATCTTCAGTACCTTGTGGAAGTGTTTATCAAGACATTGTGTTCCATCTAATTTTTTGAAAAAAATAGTATTTTGTATTTTCAGTGTCACTGGTATTAAAGAAAAAGTATGTTATTTAAAGTCTTCAAATGTGTTTTGCTCCTGATTAATTTTTAGTGCTTTCTTTCATAAATGTTGCAGAAGATGGCTTTCCTCTCTGATATAATCAGATATTTGACATCTTTGTATATTCTTTTAATTCCAGAGGACAAAATTTTATTTAATAAAATTATATCTAACCTTTAGTTGTAGCTTATGGACCTTATATTAAATACAATGTGCTGTTAACTGATTAATTAAAAAGTATTATTTGGCCTTCCCATTAAGGAATTAAAAGGCAAACAGCAGCAATAATTTTTAATATTATGCCAGGATAATGCCTGGTTTTGCCAAGAACTTGGGTTTATTAATAGAATTGGGATATATGTTGGAAGGGGAGAAAGCAGTGCAGGATGACTTTGCTTGTTATTTAGAGATTTATGATATTTTTCTAAAAGAAGTGAGACTTTTCATTATGGTATGAGTCTGTAATAAATGCTTTTCCTGTCTACATATTGTAATGTATTTTTTGCAGGGGTACTGAAGATGCGCTGTTAAAAAACCAAAGGCGGGCACAACGATTGCTTGAAGAAATTCATGCCATGAAGGTAAGGACTTGTGCAGCTGTGTGTATGCGTGTGTTTCTGTCTCTCCTCTCAGTCTGCATTTTGTGTGTGTGTTGGGTTACTTATTTGAATATTATGGTAGGTTGACCAAGACTTATTTTATGGGTCTGTTTTGTGAAGAATGTAGCACATTTAGAAAATTGTAATATGTTGAAGCTTGCATTTTCTTTTTCACTGAATTTGTTAAAGTACTTGACTAATTTGCGTCAAAATACTGCCAAAATAAACTCATCTGTGTTTAATAATGCCTCATGCCTAAGGTTTTTATTTTTACTGTAACTTTAGGCATGTAGTCTAAGTTAAGTTCAAGAATTGAAGTGTTCATGCTATTTGGTAATGTGGATGGGGATATTGGTGGCTGACATCATGCTTTGTCTATTGCCAACTCAATAAATTTTTGTGTGATGGTGTCAGCATTTTATTCAGCTCTGTAGTAACTTGAAATAAAATTAGTATTGGACCAAAATGATCCATATTTTTGTTTCTTTCAGCCAGACTCTTCACTAGCATAATTTTTAGGTCTTCTCACTGCTCTTACTTTGTGGAAACTTTCATTTACCAAATGACATACTATTAAATGTCTGGGAGACTTTTTTATTGCAGAACTTAAAAACAACATTTGGTACTAGCAATTATCTTAATTGTAGGGTCATTTTGCATGTATGTTTGACTATTACATTTTGGTATAACTTCCAAGAGTTTTTTTTTTTTTAATTTTACTGATTTCAGAGAGGAAAGGGGAGAGAGAAAGAGAGAGAGAGAGAGAGAGAGAGAGAGAGAGAGAGAGAGGGAAACATCAATGATGAGAGAAAATCATTCATCGGCTGCCTCCTGCACACCCCCATTGGGGATTAAGCTGTGACCTCCTGGTTCATAGATTGACGCTCAACCACTGAACAACACTGGCTGGGCACTTCCAAGTTTTGAGATAGATAAAAGAATGATTGAACTCTCTAAAACTATTTTAATTGAGTTAAATTATCAAAGTTTCTCACCATTTTTTTTCCTTTTGAAGGGATAGTAAAGTATTTTATAGGTCAGTTATTTTTCACAGTTAATCTGAGTAGAAACAGATGTAGGACATCATTTCTTTTTGGGGTGAGGTGCTTTTATTTTTTCATTTTTGTGTGTGTGTGGCATTATTTTTAATCACAGGACTACAAAATTTATGAAATACATTTGATTTATCCTCTCTAATGTTTTAATCCCTCTTTTTTTTCCCAATCATTCAGTCAAAATACTCTATGTTTGCCTCCTAATTGTCATTTGTGTCATTTTGAATGATACATCATTTGGCTTTTTCATATACCTTTTATTTCTCATGAAATTCAAATGAGAGATAAAATGTTTGGATACTCTTGTTTTGAGGATAACGCTAAGATAAGAACTTATTGTGTATCCCATTGTGCCTTTCACTTTCTCTTAATCAAGGTCCTTACTAAATTATTACATTCCTTACCTATTTTTTTCCCGTAATTTCTTCTGAATTGTCATTTTTGTAGTCCTCAATTATTCGAAGGCTTTGAGCTACTATATAATTGCTGATTTTATTTTTCCATGGAAAGGATGCATTATAATATAATAGGCCTATGTGTAGTATATGAGACTCTGAAAACAAAAGATATTCATTAATCTTTAGAGTACTTTCCTTCTGTAACTCTCAATAATGAATTTAATTTAAAGTTAATCAGAAAAACAAGTTGTCTTAATTTATCTATATGTGAAACTTGTTTTCTTTTATTCTTAAACCTCATCAGGAATAGCAAATCAGACTCCGTGAGAAAGTTCTTAGGTTTGCAACATTACTGTGTCACATTCATAGTTTTATTTTGTGTGTATATGTGATTATGTAAGACCACTGTGGAATTGTTGCCTCATAGAAAGCTAAAATGCATAGCCTGTATAGTCTCGGAATTCATAAAATTAATAGTATATACATATTTTGTCCCCTTGTATTCGTGGCAGTGGGTTAGGGTGGTCTGAATTGGATGCTATGAATTAAACTTTTTTTTGTAATGCTTTTTAAAAGTTGGATTAAATTTAAATATAAAAAAACAGAAAAAAAGAGTAAGACTATGTTTGCTTTTCTTACACGTCTAATTTTACTCCTTATTTATGATTTTTTTAATGGTCTACTTTTCTAAAAGAAACAAATATATAGAGCATTTTTTAAGTGAATGGTCATTTGAAATTTCTTAAAGAACAGTTTATCATATACATGGGAGTATCAAAGAAATAGTCACAAAACAGGAAACTCACAGTCTCAATTAAAATTTGAAGAAAAACCTCTACTTATTCATTTTTCCAGATGAATTTTTTCCTTGGCTCATATACCACTACATTTTTATAGTCTTGTTCATGACATACTGTCCTATACTTGCTTTCTATGATAATAGGGTATTTTGTTGCAAGATGACTTCCTCAAGGAGAAAACCTAAAATATTTTTAGAAATGGGAGTTTGTTTATTTCTGGCCAAGAGAAAAAAAGGGGGGCCTGATCTTTTTTTTTTTTTTTAAATATATTTTTATTGATTTCAGAGAGGAAGGGAGAGGAAAAGAGAGATAGAAACATCAATGATAAGAAGGAATCATTGATTGGCTGTCTCCTGCACGTCAAACTGAGGCTGCAACCCAGGCATGTGCCCTTGATTGGAATCAAATCTGGGACCCTTCGGTCCTCAGGCCAACACTCTATCCACTGAGCCATACCGGCTAGGGTGGAGGGCCTGATCTTTATGATACTATGAAATCATAGGTTCCAATTTGTAGATATAATATATGAATACCAACTCTGTTGCCTTTTCTAATAGTATTCCCACTTTTAACTCTGATACTAGTGTAAATTCTGGCTTCTGAAACAGTTTCTTTTTCTTGGAAAATAAAGTAGCTGATCAACTTTTATAGATCCCAAAGTTATTTAGCTAAAGAAAAAAATAGTAAAATTAAGGCAGACAATGATATTAATATAAGTATACAAGAAATCCCTTCCTTAATAATAAAGGTAATATAACTAGCTTCTTCTGTGACTATTTACTATGTGCATGACACTGTGTTAATTTTTTTGTATGAAAGCTTAAAAAGAAATTTGCCATAAGGTATAAGATGCCTTATTTGTCCTCTGTTTTATATTCAGTATCTCATGAGATAGATGTCATTTTTCTTACTATCTTACAGAATAGGAAACCAAGGCTTACAGAAGTTAAGCAACTTGCCCAAGGTCAAGTAGTTGTTGGGCTTCATAACTAAAAGCTAATGGCCTTGGCAGTTTTACTTGCTTCTTCAGTAAACCAGAACTTCTGGAATATACTCTGCTTCCCAGAGACTAGATGAGATAATAGAATAACCATGACAGTTGCCCTCTAAGAAAAAAAGACCCAAAGGAGAGGTGCCCGTCTTCAGATCCTTTAATTCCTCAGAACTAAATGCATATTCCCAGTTCACTCAAGCTGGTTTTTTGGGTTTAACTTCCTTCTCTCTGAGGCCATTGCTTTTCCTATACTGAGTATTCCTGTAGAGTGAGAACTCGAATGTTATTCTGTAAGACTTTGCTCTGCCTGCTACTCTTTATTTTAAAACTCCTTTTGTTTCATTCTTTTCTAAGTTTACGTGCTCAAATCTGTTATTAAAAGCATCTTTAAAGCACCTTTGCTTATGCTCTTCATGGCCTGTTTCTAAGTGGTTGTCTTTAGTGGATCACAGATGGGAAAAGAGTTGTAGATTATGATCTGTCGCTATTATGCAAAGTAAAATAAATTAATACGTAAACAAAATAACATATCACATCTTTTGCATTTCATTTCACCACAACTATAAAATGAGCAGAATCTTATTTCAAAGGACATGTTGAGAAGGGTTCTGTGCTGAACATTCTTCAGATAAGGCCTTTCCTTCTAACAAAATCATTAGCCTGTTTACCCTTGAATTGTAGGTTTATCATATATGTCATATATTAATTAGAATTTTGTGATATTTCTGGTTCTATATATGTTTTTAAAATGTATTGAGTTTTTTTCTCTGTAATTTTACATGCTATGATTTTGTTAGTTTTTTTTTTTTTCATATGGATTCTTAAAAAGAAGTTTGCCATATGGCCCTGGCCAGGTAGCTTAGTTGGTTGGAGTGTCATCCGGTACACCAAAAGGTTCGATTCTCGGTCAGGACACATACCTAGGTTGCAGGTTCTATCCCCCTCTAAAAATCAATAAGAAAACATATCCTCAAGGTGAGGATTAAAAAAAAAACAAAGAAGTTTGCCATATGGTAAAACATGCCTTATTTATCTTGCAAGTATACCATTTTAATTGTGTCAAATTAACATTTAATTCATTTTATTCTACTAAAATAATAGTATTAAGAGGTATTGTTCATCTAAGATTATAATTTGTTGTTGTTAATCCTCTCCTGAGGATATTTTTTCCATTGATTTTTAGAGAGAGTGTAAGAAGGGAGAGGGAGGAT